TCGGTTTTGCAACTGAAAATTAACCCCCTCTTCAATTCTCGGTTTATTGTTGCGTAAATAGCCATTTATATTATGGCCGTTTTACATAAACGACCATTCTGAAGAGTTGCACCTCTTCAGTTTTGAGCTCAACATTGGCTATAAATACTAGTCCATTCTCTCAGATTTTTAATAAGATTTTCTCAGTTCTCCTCTTTTCTTCTACATTGTTTTAACTTCAAAGAAAGCAACAGTAAGTGTGATTTGCTATCAAACTTTGTGTTTGCGAAAACACTGGGGTTTAAAGTTCCACTATACCAGTGTGTAATTTATTCTATTCTTGGAAGAAATAATCCACAACCTTGGGTACTAGGAGGGAGTTAAATTCCTTAAGGAAACACCGTGAATTCAGTGGGCTCGGATTAATTTCTGTTTCGTTTATATTTCTGTTTATATGCTATTTTATTTTTTCCAGAATTATTTTACAAATACAGTATACTAACAAGTATAGGTTCGGTAAGATTCGGTTTACCTAACGATACACACCATAGTATTCTTATCGTTTCTAAATTCGGTTTCAACTATTCCTGGACAGAGAAAATGTTGATTGCATTTTCAACAAACCACCTAAGGCGAAAATCAAATTACCAAAATGTACCACGTAAAGGAAAAGGGTGCGAGTCGGGTCGAGGAGGGAGGAATCAAACGTACTCATTATAAACTAGAAGATGGAGCAAGAGATATTCTTAATTTCAGATTCGTTGACATTATTTAGAGTTGACACACATGGCCTCAAGAAGAGGAAAACGAAATAAAAAGAAGAAATACAGCTTGTATAAATGTACAAAGAATACATATCCAACAAGAAAAGCAAGAAGCCTAAAGAAGCAGGCCCCTGTCGAACCTAAAGAACAAATTATGACAGGAAAAGCAAGCAAATTATAACACTGTACATTTGTCTTTTAGCTCCAAAATTTTGGTACACATCTGAGGCTATGGATTCATAAGATGCTAAACCTGGTAGTTGGCATTGCTAATTTAGAATTATATAAAATTCCTAGTTAGGCTATAATTTTTTTTAATTAATTATATCTAGTTAGGACATAATTCGCTTGCAGCTGATGAATCCTTATTGTATTTGGAGTGATTTTATTTCTATTGTAAAATGACGTGCTGCTGGGCCATCATATCTTTCACCAAGTCAATATGTTGATCTAATTAGTTAACCACATCTTTAATTTGGTTAGTAAATAAATATAGCAGTAGGATGGTTTTTTACACAGCGCCAAATTCCAATGGGGTAAACCAGTATCTTTTAGCACATGCTTATGGTGAAAACAAAAAGTATCATTGGAAGGAAGTTAAACTTCTATCACATTGTCTCATACTTTTACCTTGACTTGTTCACAGACCAAGATTTCACTCTGGATATATATGCGTATAGTCTAAAAGAAGAGAAGGAAATTTTAAGTCTTTTATTTCGCCGATTACATTAAAACTGTTTATTTCATTAGTTGGATGCTCTTAAGGTCAGCAAATATTTTGAAACAAAAGGACTTTAGGAGTAAGACCTCGATGATTGCGAGAAAATTTTATTCCGTGCCTCACCCAAGTGACAATTTCTTTTTTGTCTTACAACCGTGAGGTTCCAGAATTTTGTGGACCCAAATATGTAAGATATGAGTTTACAAATACGTGAGATAAAAAAAAATCTCACACAAACTGTGTGAGGCACAAAACAAAATCACTCATGATTGTGTAGCTGCAGCCTGCCATTATCTTCCCCGATCCCATTAATAATGTGAATCACATGGTTGAAGAACAACTGAGAACATTCAAAATCACGTGGGCCTGAATTAATTAGCAACTGCCACAACGAGTATTAATAACTTGTTTGACCAAACTTCTAAAATCACCTTATTTTTTATAAGAATTAAGTGCTTTAAAAGAATAGAGGCGGAGCGAGGATTTGAAACTAATTATGAATTTGGGATTTTATTTCTTCTAAGTTACTGGGTTTTAAATTACTCCCTCCGTTTCAATTTATGTGAACCTATTTTCTTTTAGACCGTGTCAAAAAGAATAAAATCTTTCCTTATTTGGAAATAATTTACCTTTATGCAATGATTTATAGCCACACAAAATATATGTGACTCATTTTACACCATAAGTTCAAAAAAGTTTCTCTTTTCTTCAACATCGTGCACAGTCAAATCGGTTCACATAAATTGAAACGGAGGGAGTAATAATTTGTACATAACTTTTAAAAATAAATACATAATTTTGATCAAAGTTATTGGGTTCATCCGAACCCGAATTCGAAGCTCTAGCTCGGCCCATATCAAAAAATACTTGATGAGAAGTAATTTATGTGTTAGCTAATTAATTTCAAAAGTACTTTACAACAACGATTTAAAAAGTAATTTTAGGTGTATTTTTTTTTTCAGTCATTTTCCATTGGGAAGAAGCCATTTTCTGCTTCCACTTAATTTTTTTTTTTCCTTTTTGATCAAATACCTTAATTTGAAGGAGAGAAAAAAAGGCCAAACAGGTAAAGTGACTAAAATAGGTGAAGTGGCTGGTGAATACGCGTAGGAGATTTGCATGTCAAACAGATGGAGAATAAATGACGAGCAGATCACCAAGTAGGACTTCAATGAGAGGACATACTGCAAGACCAGGAAATATCTTTTGCGGCCCACTAAAAATAATGTGCGCGTCAAATTCATGCATGTGATCAGCCATCTAAATTTCTCTTGTGGCTGCTATATTTATAATCCTAATGATAGAGAGCTGCTTGAGACTCTCTCTGCACTTTCATGTTCAAGAATGGGTCATGTCCCTACATTCCTTGAGTTATCGACTGAGGGAAATGTTTCTATGAAGAAGGCATGTCAACAATTCGTTATAAAGATAAGATGTCCCATATGCTTGAGTCAGAAACATGCTACTCACTCTCCGTCTTATAATATGTATCGTGGTTATTAAAAATAATTATCTCGAATTATTTGTTATTTTAAAAGTTCAAGACAAAATTAATTATATTTTTTCTTTTTTATACCTAATAATCAATTGCGTTCACATTTAGTAAAAATATAAATAATGTCATTAATAAAAATGATACATAAATTAAAAAAATATTTAATAAAAATAAAATAATCAAAAACTATTCTTTCTTAAGAGGCGTGCACAAAAAAATCACGATACATAATAATATTATGCGACGGGGAGTAGTGATCAAAATTACCAAAGGCATACCTCTGACCTAATTTTCGCTCGGAACTATCATAATTCGCGGTTCTACTAGAACAGCCACAAATAATGCGCGTTAACATATAGTAATAATTAAATGCAAGAGTAGTAGGACTTAATAATGGTTTGATTAGTGAATCATCAATAAATCATTATACAACAGTAACACGAAGTCACCATCGTGCAGTATTTCCTTTTTCAAACCCGGCACATACATGGAACAATGTTACTTCCACCATAATTAAGTGTAATATATTAATTAATTAACTATAATTAAATATAAAATTAATATGAAAATACATATCACACACTTTTAGTGTACGCGTAGGCTAATCTCCTCTTCCTTTAGTTGGTGTAGCATCTGGAATGTGCTGGCAGATGGGTTGAGGAATTTGTCTTACCAGTCTTGACTAATTGATGCTGCCTTATGTATGGGTTAAAATCTGACCACGCATAAATTATGCGTTAGAAGGAATGGTAAGGGATCAACTAAGTCGCTGTCGTATCCACAAGGTATAATAACAACTAATATCTCGATCATTATCGAGATCGAGCCGTCAAAAAGCTTGTAGGGCAAAGTAAATGTCGTGATATTTGAAGGAGGCAAGATGAGGTACAATCAAGAGATGAAGACATTCTGGTCAAGGACGTTGGACAAAAGGGAATATTAATAATATATATAGGAGGTAAGAAGACAAGAAAAGGAAAGATTTCCTCTCCTAGAGAGAAAAAATAAAGAAAACCAAGAAAAGGTTTAGATAGCGAATACAAATCTTTAGTGATTATTGAATCAACAAAGATATATTCTCTTAATCGATGTGCTTAAATCTAAAATTAATTATCCATGACTAAAATTTATCCTCTATTTTCTTCATTAATTAGTTTAGCAAAAACCTTAATACTTTTTGTCAAACACCTTCACCTCCCTAAAGTCCTAAACTGATCATATCAACTACCACCTAGGGAGGAATGTGGATGTGCACTATTGATTTGGCTAAATTCGGTATACCTAACGATAAATCCAATGTACAGATATATTCCAATTGAAAGCTTCCTCTAAGTTAACCAAATTTTGTGTCAACTCATCAATAAAAGACAAAGAAAATGTTGATTCTGTTTTCAACAAGCACCCAAAAATGAAAATCAAAACCCAATTTAACACGAAGAAGAATAGAAAAGGGGGAAGAGGGGG